GTTCCAGTTGCTTGCTTTCTGTTTTTCCCCATTGTTTAATTGCTTGTGCTATCTGGTGGTTTCTTTCTGTTGTTGTTCTTGGGATTGTGGTCATTTTTATCTCTATCTAGTATTTCTTTCAATACACTTTCCAGGGTTGGTTTGGTGGACGTGAATTTCTTCAGTTGTTCTTTGTCATGGAAGTATCTTGTTTCTCCATTAAATTTGAATGAAAGTTTTTATGGGCACATCAGTCTGGGTTGAAAATTGTTTTCTTTCAGGGCTTGAAATACCTCACTACAAGCTCATGTTGAATTGAGGGTTTGAGCTAAAAAGCCTGCTGTGATTCTAATGGGCTTTCCTTGATAGGTGAGCTGTGTCTTTTCTCCAATAGCTTTTAGTATTCTGTTTCTATGCTGTATGTCTGAGAGCTTAATTATTATATGTCTGGGTGTAGATTTATGTTGGGTGTGACTGTTTGGCATTCTATATGCCTCACTTATGTGCATATCAGATTTTTTTTTCCACATGTTTGGGAAATTTTCTGGTATTACTTCTGTGAATATTTTAGTTACATCATTTGCATATACTCCTGCATCTTTACTGATGCCTATTAATCTTACATTGTTGCTCTTGGCATCATCTTGAAGCTGCTGGATTGTCATTTCATGTTGCTTTGTTATTTTTAAAAGTTCTACCCTTTCATGATCGCTAATTGTGATCCTGTCCTCAAAGTCTGAAATCCTATCCTCAGCTTCATTTAAACAGTTCTGCCAGCTCTGAATAGAACTTTTTGTTTCTTAGATGTGTCTTTGAGTTTGTTTCATGAATTCTGTTTGTTTTCTATATTGTTCATTCAAGGTTTCAATTAGTTTTTCATGCTCCTGTACTTTTTTCTCTATTTCTTCTTTAGCTGTGCTCAGTAACTCCTTTACTAAGGTTGTTATTTCTATCTTTATGTGGGAGAGTACTTTTATTTTGATTTCCTCTATAGCCTCATGGAGTTTTTTTTTTTTATTTCACTTGCTATCTTTTCAGAGATTTCCAGGATGTTACTTTTGAAGTCTTGTATTTCAATGTCTCCTGTACTTGCTCCTGGTGGACTAGATGTTTGAGATTGCATTTTGCTTTTTTGTTTTGCCATTTTCCCCTTTCAAATTGATATTTGGTCCTTCAATCCCACTAGTGTCAACAGTTGGTAGTGTATATCTTGGGTTCCTAATGGAACATTGATGTTTTTTCAATTGCTGGGTCTCTTCAGTGAAGAAATGGGCCAGTCACCTGTCTTCCCACTGCAGGCCTGCTGGGTGAGTCCTATATTCTTCCTGGGCTGACAAGCCTAGTAGTATTGATGTAGGTCAACTTTTCGTTCCTGCTATTACTTTATCTTCAGGTTATTCCAGTTCACCAAATCTCCCTATCTATAGTATTTGTGTCGGCTGAGGCCCTACTGTGTCCCTATTGTGTGCCTGGGTATCTCATAAGCCCTTTTGATTTTCTCCAAGTTGGGGGAGTCCTTACTGGCACACTCCTCACCTTGCCTGATGTGCAGGAAGGGGTCACCCACACTCTTGCCAGACTTACCAAGGTCTTACAGTTAGTTGGAGGGAGCTTTACTGCTGGCCCTATTTACCCACTGTACACCTCTATTTTAGGGGCATACTTACCACACTGCCTGGAGCCTGCTGAGATCTTCTGTTTGGCTGAGGTAGTTACTAAATCTCCTTTCAAGCTAGCACAGTTAATCTGCTGTATTCCAAGGTTCTGGGAGAAAGGGTGGGAGTCGAAGGTCAACAGCAGTATTAGGTCCAGGAATTAGGGAGTGTTCCCCGAGGAACCAAAGGTGTCCTGGGTCTGGGCATTTGCTGGGTGTGGGCCAAGGTCCCAGGGCAGCACAAGTTCCCCAGGGCTGGTGGGAATCAAGCAGGAAGCTCAGGGTGGCCCAGGCCAAGGTCCCAGGGCAGCACAAGTTCCCCAGGGCTGGTGGGAATCAAGCAGGAAGCTCAGGGTGGCCCAGACCAAGGTCCCAGGGTGGCGTGGTGTTCCTCAGTGCCAGCTGGAGTCGCACCTATTTCTTGGTTTTGAGTGACATTGAGTGATATTTCAAAGCTTCCTCAGTGCACTAGGAATCACCTGGCCCACTTTGGCTCCCAGGGCAGACTGCTGGCAACTGCTTGTCACTTGGAGCTCGCTGGGCTTGGGCCAGTTGGGCTCCTGGGGACTCTGTGATTTCAGACACAGGGCCTGATCATACGGCCTGGGAGTGAAGTTCTAAGGCTTCCTCATGCACTGGAATTAAACCCAGGTTCAGTCAGGACCTCGGACTGGATGCCTGGCCTTGCTTGTTGCTTGGAGTTCATTGGGTGTGGCCCAGTTAGGCCCACTGGTACCTCCTGTGCCTCTTAGGGTGATTTCAAATGCAGGGCATGGTCTTACACACACACACACACACACACACACACACACACACACACACACACACACGAAAAGTTGCAAGTTTTCCCGGTGTGCTGAAATTCAACCCATGGGTGAGGTCAGGGCCTGGGCTTTTATTTTGCTCTTTAAACTATTTAACTTTGGGTTTCTTATCTAAGAGAAGCAATGTGGTGTTTAATCTTCTGTGTCTGACTTGTTTCACTTAGCATTATGGTCTCAAGGTGCACTCATACTCAAGTTTATCCTGCTTTATGGTAGAGTTGTGTATAAATACCATGTTTTCTCTTCCATTCACCTGTTGATGGGTATACAATCTGCTTTTAAGACTTAGCTATTATGAGTTGTGTTGCTATAAACATGGAATATGTATATATCACTATTACATGCTGTCTTTAATTCTCTCCTAAAGATACCGAGAAGTATAGTGGGGTCAAAGAGAATTTCTGTATTTAGTTTTTAGTATTCAGTTTTTTGAGGACTCGCCACACTGATTGGTTTTACTACTTTACATTGCCACCAACAACGTAGTAGTGTTCCTTTCCCCCACAGCCTCATCAGTGCTTGTTGATTTTTTAGTTCTTGATGATAGCTGTTCTTTCTGGAGTAAGATGGAATCATAAGGTTGTTTTGACTTGAATTTCTGTAATGACCAGAAATGTTGAACATTTTTTCATGTACCTATTGGCCATCGCACTTCTAGGAAATGTGTATCCACTTCACTTGCCTATGTTTTTGATTGGGCTTTTTATTTTGAGGAATCTAGTTTTTTGTTTTTTCCTTTCTTTCTTACTTTTTTTTTTTTGTTTTAGTTCTCTATATATTCCAGATATAGGTCTTTTGAGGAGTAGCTGTCAAATTTTGTTTCCCATTCTGTAGGCTATCTCTTCACTCTCATGTTTCCTTTGCTCTGTATAAGCTTTAAAACTCGATATGATCTTATTTATTGATTGTTAGTGTTGTTTCATATACAGTTGGGGTTCTGTTCAGAAAGTCCTGGGCTATGTCTTCAAGAGCTCAACTTACTTTATCTTGCAGCAGATTCAGTGTTTCTGTTTTTATAACTTGGCCTTTGATCTATTTTGATTTGACTTACAGAGTGAGAGATATGGTCTACCTTCATTGTTGTGCTCTAACCAATGCGCCTCCTCCTGTTTTGTATGCACTGTTTTCAATAGGATTAAATTTTCATTTCCAGTAAAGACTTAAGTTTCAGCTTCTTATAAATCCCCCCAACCCCCCTTCCCCATGTTTCTGCGTGTGCTGTTCCGAGAAAATGTTTAACCACAGAGAGCAATGGAATGTACCAAGAATCTCAGATGTTAATAGGTCAACAGGTCAACAGCTTTGCGGGTTTTTAGCTTTAAAAACCCCCACCCTTAGTCTGTTGCGTGCATAGTCTTCCATATTGGCTACTGGAGGCTGTGTCACCAGACCTGGAAATAAAGCCTTTGCTCCAAATTTCTTAATTTCTTGCTTCTTTGGATTTATTCTGGGGTCTGAGCTATCACAGAAATAGTGTCTTTTAATTCTCAGGGTTTTGGTGGTTTCCCTTGTGATTTCACCATTTTCATTTCTACTTGCATTGATATGGGGTTCCCCTATCCCTGTCCTTCTTATGGTATATTCAGCTAAGGGTTTATTCTCTCAAAGAACCAACTCTTTGACTCATTGATTCTTTGTATTGATTTTTAAGTTTCAGCTTCACTAATTTCCACTCTGACCTTTGTCATTTCTTTTCTTCTACTAGTTTTGGATTTGGATTGTCTTTGTTTTCCTGGGAACTCTACAGGCATCACTGGGTTATTTATTTGGAGGTTGAGCTATTCTTTTAATCAGTGCACTCACAGCTATGAACTTCTCTCTTAGGAATCTTTCATTGTGTACCATAGGCTTTGATATGTTGTATTCTCATTGTCATTTGACTCTGTAAACCCTTAAAATTTCTTCCCTGATTTTTCTATGATCCATTGATTATTAAACAGTATTTTAATAATCAATAACACTTAACTGATATTTGTTTTTATTTTCATGAAAAATCAGTTTATCCTTCTGAAAATTTTACTTTGTTCCAAAAGTATGTGTGCTTAAAAATAATAAAGAACCCCATTAGTTGAGAATCACTAAGTGAAGAAACCAGTGATCTCCCCAAGAATGCCTAATTGCTGGTCAGTTGTGCTATACAAGATGTGTTGCTATGTGGCCCTCAGCGCCCTTGAACATGGGTGGGTGCATGGGTTTTTTTGTGCTCCTTTCTTGTGAGCCCCTACACCTCCTGATGCAGCCATATACAAGTCAGCTCACTATGTCCCTCAGCTTTAGAAGAGATACAATGTCACATCTGTAATCTTAGACCACAATTCCTCACTAGCTTTGCCAGGTCAAGTGATCTGGCTCATGACCCCCAAACCTGATCTTGGTCACCTTTCTTCCCACTTCAGCTGTTTACATTCTTATCTTTCAAGGTCTTTCCTTGACTCTATTTTAATATTCTATTTATTTCCTTCAATGCACTTGCTTCATCTGTAATGATTGTGTGTATCTTATCTTCACCGGTAGGTATTACCCCATTTGCCAGTCCATCCTGATGTATTCCCAGGGCCTAATGCCTAGACATATTTATTTATCAATGAATGAGGGAAAGAGTAACTGCAGAAATGTATCGAGAGGTGAATGACACCAAAGGCAATCCATGCAGTTCACAATATGAATCCCTTTCCATAGACAGAAGGAAGTCTTATTTGCGACTCACAGCTTGGAAACAAAGAGAGGCCAGAGCTGCACTTTCACTGTGGACTTACACAGCCATCAAGATAACTCCCTCCATACTGAAAGAGCAGTGGAGGAGCACAACACTGAACCACAAAGCCTCTGCTCAGGAGAGTCGGAGGGCAGCAGAGGCGGCACCAGCATGCAGATCATCAGCTGCTACCACCTCATATATGCATAACCCTTGTCCAGTAGCTGTAAGCACCAGCCAGTAGGCCAGCTAGTAGGCTTCCTGTTGTATGATGTCTTTCTTTACAGAGGCCCCTGTACAGTGTAGGAAGCTCCCATCCTGCTCTGCACATTAACACCTCCACTTTACAAAAAGAACCTGTGCACAGCCAGTCAGAGAACATTCCTGGAAAGCACACCACTTTCTGGCCTCCCAGGGACTCTGTGTCCATTTTCTCAACAGATGTCAGAGCCTGTGTAGGGCAGCTAAACTGCTGTCAGTGGTGTGGGAAGCTTGATGAGCACTGTGCACAGGGTTGGTAGTGAGGACGGAATGCTAGCTTGGCTTTTGTGCAAGCTGGTTCCGATGCTTGGGACAGCTTTCCCATTGTGCAGTGCCAGCAGACTGTGGTGATCCCTTCTGCCATGTGCTGTTCCTCTCATGGATAGGTCACTGGGCACCTGGTAGAGGGCCCATCCCAAGAAAACAAGGCCAAGTCAGAATGAAATGGTCAGGACACGCAGGCAGGGTCAGCCTCAGGGCAGGCTGACCTGGGGGTTCTTGAGGAAGAAGGCCAGTTTTTGGGCAAGGGAGTCCAGTTCGCTGGAGTTGGTGGACTGAAGCAAGTTGCTCTTGGGTACGAAGTAGTGCTTGAGGAAATGCTGGCTCACACACTTGTGCAGCTTTCGCACCAGGCGCGGGAAGGCATTCTCAAAATCTTGCCAGTCTTTCAGCTGGGGGTACTTCTCACAAGTCCAGAAGAGCACCATCTGAGGAGGCAAGAGAGGCTGTCAGACAGGGCTCGGGTGATGAGGAGAAGACCTTCAGAAACAAGGGCTGAGTTTGCCTGGCCTTGAAGGAGGGAGAAGGAGTCACCTGGGGAAAGCAGACCCGCCATGAATTCATGATCCCAGCCTCAGCTGCATGCTCATTCTTATTCAGTGGGTCTCCTACACTTGTTTATTGCTTTATTCTCTTACTTTCCTCTGACATTTCCAGTGATCACTACTCTCTTTAAATCTATAATACCCCACTGTAGGCAGGTACCTCCGCCTCCTCCTCTACAGGGAACTCAGAAACCCTCGTTTCCCCAAACCAGACAGGGCACCCTCCTCTCTCCCCACCAGGACTCTGGGCCCTGCTTCGCAGGATCTGTGTCTGACTGGCTGCCCTATTCCTCCATGGTCTTTCAGTCTGTCTCCCTGCTTTCCCAAACCCTCACCTCCCCGCTGCCTTCCCCCTGCCTCTGCAAATCTAGGCCTCCAGAGTCAGTGGTAAAGCCCTAATGTTTGGCATCATTTCCTCTCCTCGTCTTTATGCTGTCTGCATTTGCCACATCACAGTTTCCTACCATTAGCGCTAAAAGCTGCTTTCTTTAAGCCCAATGGCCGCCATGTTTCTTAGACCAAGAGGCTTTTCCAGCCTTTGCTTTACCTGATTTCTCAGCTGATCAGCTTCTCCCATCCATACCCTCCCTCTTGAAAGGCTTTCATTCCTAGTAGCGTGGGTAATTTGCAAATCATGTTCTCCAGCTCAGACTTCCTCTGACCTCTTTAGCTGCAATGCTCGCTTACATGAAAGTTATGTCTGAACGTGTCCAAACTGAACTGACGGCCTTGTGCCACAAACCTGCTCTGCCTCCAGAGTTGCTTATCCAGCCAGATATGCAACATACAGACCTAGAAACATCCTTTTCCCTCACCACCCACACTCAAGCCCTGCCAATCCTCCTGCCCAAGGATTCTCAGACCTTTCTACTCCTTTCTTGCCAGTGATATTCTTCCATGTTGCCACCACAGCTCACCAGCCCTTGGCAGCAGTGTCCACTGGTCACTGAGTATCGCTCAACCTGTCACCATCCATGCTGCAGTCTGCAAGGACTTTTTGGAATATCAAACTTTGGTCCTTCTTGTCTAAGGACTTGCAATTCTCCCACTGTTTGACTTCCCAATTTCTTTTTTCAGGCCTGAGTCCTGGGGTTTGAACCCACCACCTTGATCTGAGCTGCATCCTCAGGCCTTTGTATTTGTTCATTATTTTGAGATAGGGTTTTGCAAAGTTGCCCAGGCTGGGCTCAAACTTGTGATTCTCTCGCCTCAGCTTCTCAGAGTGCTGAAAAATACAATTGTTAATATGACTAGGTCTATGAGGCTTGGTCTCTCTCTTCCTTTCCAACTTCGCAAAAAGGGCACCAAGAAAGACATGGAATCATTTTAGTTGTCCATCAGTAGAGGAATGAATAAATAAAATGTGATACAGATACATTGTGGAATATAATTCATCCATAAAAGAATAAAAGTTGCCATTTGGTGCAAAATGGACGGAACTAAAGGAACTCATGTTAAGTGAAATAAACCAGACCAGCAATACTAATACCATTTGTTCTCTCCTAGTGGAAGCTAAGGAAAATGTTCACTCAAATGACAAATAATGATCACTGGGATTGGGGAAAGCATGGGATGCAGGTGGGGAGGGGGATACAGAAAAGATGGATTTGACCAGTACATGTTACATGCATGTGTGAAAATATCACACTGAGCTCTTTTAATATGTTTAATACATGTCAAAAAATAAAATGCATTTAAAAAGAATGGACACGCAGTGAAGGATAATGTTTCCTTTAAATGTTTCTGGGAACTGGAGATTTGGGTATACCTCTCACCATATATCCAAAAACCACTCAAAGTAGATCAAAAACCTAAGTGTAAGACCTGAAACTATGGAACCACCAAAAGAAAGCAGAGGAAACTGAAGATGTTGGTGTTGGAAAAGATTTTTGAGAAAGACCCAAAAGCACATGTAACCAAAGTAAAAACAGACAAGCATGATTATTTTTGTCAAACTAAGAAACTCCTATGGAGCCACTTTGCTAAGGGCAGCATTCTGACACATGTTAGGGTGACCACAGTTTGTGATGATTTTATGTTTAAAATAGCTACAAGAATTCACAGCTTCCCAAAACATAGTGGTGATAAATGGTTGACGGAAAGGCTATTTGCCCTGACTTGATCATTACACATTGTGTGATATAACAGTGTACCCCATAAATATGTGCACTTATCATGTATTAATTTTTTAAAATTCACTAAATTATCATTTGATATCATATCAAAGAAGAAAGATGAGGAAGAAGAAAGGGAGCTGAATGAGGGGGAGGAGGAGGAGAGGAGGAGGAAGAGGGAGGCTAGAATAAGAAGGAGGAGAGCAGGGAAGCAAAGAACTGAAAAGGGGAATGGGAGGAGCCAGAGGCTACTTTCCTCTAGTCAGGGTGCTGCAGATGCACTCACTGCTCGGGGCCACATATTTCCACATGAGTAGTAGCTAGTGGAATGGCAGTTGTGGGTATTATGGCCCCTTTCTATGTTCATCACATCCTCTCCCATTTCTGAGTAGGTCCACTGAGCCCAGAGAGGCCATGGGTACCACCTATCCACAGCTTCCTGGGGTTGCAGCTCACCTGCAGATGGTGGGAGGTGATAACCGGCCTCTTCCCGGGACACCAGACATCCTCCAACAGCTGCCTCACTGCCTGAAAGCACTGTCTACGGCAGCCGCCATCCTCATCCAACTGCTCCAGCAGCACCTGCTCGGCCTGGGAGAAGCTCAGCTGCCAGTGATAGTTTGAACGGGCCAACAGGCTGAACCCAAAGGACTGGAAGAAGAGAAAAATCCAGAATTTAGAAAATGAGAAGTACAATGCTTGCTGAAGCAGAAAGCTGTTTTCTGACCTGAGGAACCTATGGAGGGTGGCAGTACGCCCTCCATGGGGCCAAAACAGGAGTCTGGGGAAGGCACAAGCCATCTTGGGGTGGACAGCTGGCAGGGGAAAGCTCCAGCCAGCAACAGAGCCCTCACCCACCTCCAGAGCTCCTAACACACAGACTGCAGGACCTGCCCACCAAGTCTCATTCTGCAGGTCCACAGTGGGGCCTAGGGCTCTTCCTTTCCAACAAGTCTGCGGGGGCCCCATGCTTTATGTCCAGAACTGCAGATCCAGTGAACCTTCGGTGCTGCTTCAGAAGCTGAGTGGCAGCAGTACTGAGATGGATAAGCTGTTTGAGTCTCTGCGCTGGGGAGCCAGGGTCCCAGTGGTGAATACCTTGATGCACTCCACTTTCCCTGGGGAAGGCCAGCACTTTGTGCATCGTGGCCACCGGGCTTTCTCAGGCCAGAGAGTAGGAATCTCCACTGTGGGGGCCAGCTCAATTTCCACTTTACAGACTGATGTTTCCACAGCAACCCAGACTGCAGGGCTGTTTGTCAGCATGCACACTTTACCTGAAGGGAGATGACCAGACAGTGAGAAGACAGCCATGGGCTATGGCGATGCAAGCATTCAGAGAAGGAATCTGTCAGCAGTGCCTGTGAGGACCCCTGACTGCTGCAGGGGAAGCTTTCCCACAGTGTCTACAGCACTCAAAGCAGGGCATCTGCAGCCAGATCTCACTGTTAGCCAGTCGGCCTTTGTTAGGGCATTGCTAGAAAACCCCCATTCCCTTAAAATTTTTATGCTACTTAGTTTATTTTATTTCACATATTTGGTACTGGAGATTGAACCCTAACCTTCACATACATCAAGCATGTGCTATACCCCCAAACCAGAACCTTTTTATTTAAATTAATACCTAATTTTCAGAAGGTTCAGCTTCCCTAGTAGTATTAATATCGCTGAAAGACAGTCATTTTGGTGGAATTCTTAAAAGTCCCTCAGATGATATCCCTACCATCCAGTCACTGAGCCACCCCGGTCATAGGTGTATTTATCACCATAAGCTCCTGTAATCGTAAGGTCTTTCGAAGCATGTTATGGTCACTGTTTTAGGGGATCACGTGTGGAAAAAGGCCCTCACTACTTTATCTGCCAACCAGGAAGGTAGAGAAACAGAGAGATAGACAGAGACAGACATACAGAAACAGAAACGTAGAAAGGGAAGAAAGGGAAATGATCCTGACAAAGTTTCCAGCATATACACTAGGCTATCTTCATTTCTAATTTGCTCCCCCTTCTTTCAACACACAGTGTGTTTTGTTTGTTTGCGTTTGTTAGAGATAAGGATGAGTCCTGAATCAGGATCTATTATTTTTCTTTGCCTTGCTCAGGGAAGTAAATGGAAGCTCATTAATTGTGTTAGGTTGCTGAGAAGGAAAACATTACTTTCTTGGCCAGGTGCGAGAAAGGGCTGATTATCTGCATCTCATCAGAGCTGCCCAGACAGGAACTCCAGCATGTCTGGCACTTCAGCATCATTTACTAAATCACCTCACCATGCTGGCGCAGGCTGAATTGCTTGCTTGCACTTTCACTAGTAATAATGCTGCAAACTAAAAGAGGTGAGCAAATAGGAGCAGGCCTGTCTGGTCCCTCGCCTTCCTCTGGAGCTCATTCTGCTCGCTACTGCACATAATGTGCAAGCCACCAGCTAGTTACTTATCCTAGCCTTTTTTTTTTTTTTTTTTTTTTGGTCTTTTTCATTTTTATCGGTACTAGGGATTGAACTCACGACTTATCCTAGTCTTAACATGAGTCTTGGTTTGCTCATCTGTAAAACTGGTGCAAAAATAATTCTTACTCTCTAGGGTTGTTATGCAGATTAAACCATGAAAGTGTTTTCTATGAGAATCTATTATGCATGAGTTATGATTACTATGAAAATTTTCAAATGTGTCCTTTTCTTTAAATACATTGCAAAGGTGATATCTCAGTGGGGTACTGTAGTCAGATGGAGACTGTTGCAGAAGAAATTGCTAATAATATCTAGGGTTTGTGAATAACTTGCTCTTTTAAGCAAGTACATGTAGATCCTGAAAAAGGTGCATAATTCACAGCGTGTTGTGTCTGTGCCAGGACAGTAATCTGCTGAAATCCTTGGGCGTGTTCAATGAGTACAAATTCCCATCTTCTCTTTGTCACTACAGAAGAAAGAGCAACTCCCTACATTGTTCACTGATGTAACAAGTACGTGATCCCTGTCTCAGGAAACATCCCATCAAGGTTTTTAGAGCCAAAGAGGAACAGCACAATGTCCCTTGCACCTTTCCTTGATCAACCCACCTGAGAGGCGGCAGGTTGCAATCGCTTTTTCCACCAGTTGCCGGAATACCTGAAGGACTTTGGCTGGCACAATGTCCCCCTCAATGTTCACATCAGCCTCGTGCCACTGCCAGATGTTCTTCATGAACTGCTCCACCTGCAGCCACTGCTGCAGGCCCTCGGGGGCCCGCAGGGGGTAAGAGAGCCGGGAGCCCTTCAGGTTGTAGTACCGCCAGTGCTGCTCCTTGGCTTCTCTAAAGCCAGCCAGGCCTCTCACTGGCACTGTGACGAGGAACTGAGTAGGGCTCAAAACCTGGGGTCGGGAAAGAGAATGTGTGTGAGCTCATTGACTGGTAGGGAACAGAAGCCCTCTGGGTGCTGACTGGTGAGCCAGGCAGCTCAGGCAACCACTCAACCCTCAGTAATGTGCCCAGGTGGACAGAAAGCTAGGCCTGGGTGTTGCAAGATGATTACATCTTTGCTCTGCCACTAATCCATCGTAATGCTGTGGCAGGCACATTAACTCTCTGAGATTTTGGTTTCCCGGATCCACAAGTGTAAAGGAGTGAAGGAAACCTGAAACTCCAGAGGGGACCTAAGTTCGGGGAAGTAGAAAAGGGAAGAAGGAGAACTGGTCTTCAGCGAGTTTTATGTGTGTGAAGATGGTAATTCTCCTCCATTTGCCCACCTGGCCTTCAGAGCTGCTCACTGAGGTGGACAGATGGAGGACCTGACTAAAGGGATCTGGACATCTCAGGGACAGAGTCAGTAAGCAGAAGAACCAGAATTTGAGCTCACATCTTTCCATAGTTTGTTCAGTGATTATTTTCCTATCCTGGGCTAGTTCTCAATTCAGAATGAATGATCTGGAATGTGTGAAAGTCCTGGAAAAAATAAAGGGTGAGAACAGGTAGGAGAAGAGGTGAATGAAGTTTGCAGAATGCCTTCCTTTCTTTTCATCTGCACTAATGACCCATTGCCAGAATTAATGACTGTTGTAAAATCAAAGGTGAAATGAAAGCCTGTTTGCTTAGACAATGTAGCTACTGAGAAGACTATAAATATAATGGAGAAAAGAAACAGAGTCTACCCACTCTTTTTTCCAAGGAACCAGGTAGGCAGTGGTCAGGGAGAAAAGGGTCAAGTCATCAGTACAAAGGCTAGAACAAGTTAGTCAACACTGCTGAATTGCCAAAGGGAACTTGAACTTTGACTGTGATGCACGGCAACCCACTCAATCCTGCACCTTCCCTGTAGGTCAGATACCTCCACTTCACAAAAAGTTCTGACGTTGGACTTTTCTGACAGTTTGCTCAGGGCTCAGTCATTGATCAATAATGGAGTAAATTCCAAAATCAAGGTGAGTGGTGGTCAATTCAGTAAAGTGTTAACAGTACTAACAGCCATTTCCCATCATTCATATTACTTCCTGACCTTTGTCTCCTGTTGTAATATTATATTTTCATATGAGTAAAAATCCTACAGGAAATTGTACATGTATGCACTCTAGATTTCTCATTGATTTGAATCATCCCAAAACCATTTTCCTGTTATTCTACACTGCAGCTTGTGAAAAAACTGTCTTCCAGGATACTGGTCCCTGGCTTCAAAAGGACTGGAGGCTTCTAACTTAGACCTAAAATGTCCCCCCAAAGTCTTTTATTTGAAGGCAGGGCATGGTTGGGAGGGGTAGGTCACTGGGGTTGTGACCTGTATTGTTTTATCTGGCTCCACCCTTCTTTCTATGCTTTTGCTTTGGAGCTAGCCAACCAAGGAATGAATCCTCTAAAACCATGACCAAAAATAAATCTCTCTTCCTTTAAGTTTCAACTGTTGGATAATTTGTCTTTGTGATGGGAAATTGAGTAATTCAGGAAGTTAGTGCCTGGAATGGGACTAGAACCAGCTGCTGTAACTATATCTGATCATGTAGTTCAGAAGCCATCAAAACTGGTTTGTGGGGAAACTTTGGAAAGGTTTAGAGACACAGAATAGAGAAGCCATAGAATCCTGTAAACAGAGTTCAGTGGGTTATCCTCATGGAAGCTCAGAAGGCTGGGATGTTGACAGGAATGCAGACAAGAATGGTCAGGCTCAGGAAGTTTCAGTTGGAACAACAGCTCTATTGGAAACTGGACTAAAAGCCATGAGTATTGCATTCTGGCAAGGGACTCATCTGCATTTTATCCATATCCTGAGATTTTGCAAAAGACTCAGATTAAGGGCAGGGTACTAATTAATCTTCCAGAAGAAATTTCAATACAGCCCAATATTCAGGCTATGGCATAGGTATTATTGGTTGCTTTTAGCCAGATTTATACTGAGAGACAGAAATAAAAAGCAGAAGTGAACAGTGTGAAAATTATACAACTTGGCCAGATGCACTATAAAGTTGAGACAAAGATGTCTTTGTTTGCTGAAAAGGTATATATAACAGGACAGATATAGCAGGACAACAGGAAAGATGTCTTGTGGGTATCTCAGGAAATCGCCAGATCTCACTCATCCTAGGCTCAAGAATGCAAAAGGTAACACATTTGAAAGACTTAACAGGGCACTCTGCTCATTAAAGGTTACCTAGGGAAGCACTGCCTTGAGTTCAGCCACCCAACTCCTCAGAAGCAGCTGCAACCATGACCCAAGGGGGCCAGTTTTCTGTTCAGACTAACAGCAAACTGTGATATCATCCACATGGTGCTGTTTTTTAAATCATGTAGCATTAAAGAGTTAAGGGGTCATGGAAGCTTCCACCCAGATTTCAGGAGACCCAGAAAGCCAGGTAACAATTTGTGACAGTGTCATATTCCCTACCAGGAGCTCCTGATAGTGCAATGCATAAAGCTGTGAGAATAAAGCAAAAGAGGCATTGGAAACTCCAGGAAGTCAGAGAAACCAGAAATACATGGAATGTCTTGTGAGAAAGGGTACAGGTAGTGAGCAAACCAGCCCAAGGGAAAGTACATATGAACTATAACTGCCAGTGCCACAGGACTGCAGTTGCCAAAGTCTTTTGGAGCTCATATCACACTACAACCTGCCCTGGGTGATGGATGTGGAACTATAGCATTAAATATTTGTCCTGCTGGTTTTTAGTCTTTCTTTGGTCACATTTTTGTGGTGTGTTCCTATTTCTTCCTTTTAGAATGGGAATGTCAACCCTGTGCTATTGTATACTGGAAATGTTTCACTTTCTGTTTGATTTTTTGTAGGATCTAATAACTAAAATTTTATTTTGAGTCTCAGATGAGATTTTGTAGCTGGACTTTTCAGTATTGCTGAAACTATTAAGACCTTGATGACTCAGAAATGAAGTGAATGCATTTTGCATAGTAAGATTGACATGAACCTTTTGAGGGCCAGAGGCAGAATGTTATGGTTTAGCTATGAAAATATCTCTCCAAAGTTCTGTGTTCAGAGGTGGGTCCTGTTTGGAGAGAGCAGGTCACTAGAGACATGATCTAAAAGAGTATATTGTTACTCCTGCCTCTTCTCTTTGTTCTCTGCTTCTTTGGTGTCATGATATGAATAGGCTTTTCTGTTTTGCCTTTCTACCATGCCAATTTTTTTTTTTTTTGAGAGAGACAGGGTATTAGTATCTAGTTCAGGTTGATCTTGAACTCACTAGCCCAGGCTGGCTTCAAACTTACAGTCATCCTCCTGCCTCAGCCTCCTGAGTGCTAGATTACAGGCATGTACCATCAAGTATTCCCATGCCCAATCACCATGTTCTTTCTGCCTCAGAGCTGTCCAATCATGGATTGAACCCATAGGAAACTGGACCAAATAAACTTTTTCTCCTTTAAATTGTGGTATCAAGAATTTGTCCCAAGAACATGAAAATGACTCATACAACCATCTAGAAATGAGAACACTCAAATGAGATAACATCTATGAAACAAGGCTGTAAATGGCAAAGACTAAGAGTACTCACAGGAACATGATGTGTTATTAGTGCTAGAGTACATGTCACATACCAATTTCCACCCACCAAGCATCCTGACCCTCTTGGTGGGCACTTTAGACACAAGTGAGACTTGCTTACCTTTATGTTCCCATTGTATGTGTCAGAATAAGGCACAGCCTGAAATCGTAAGTCTTGATGGCTGATTTCTGTGGTCAGCTGGTGGATAATTTCTTGTACCTCATCCACAGTCTGGGAAATCCACTGGCGCCTCAAATCCACCTGAATATGATAGGATCAGAAAGGTGGTTATTTCCTGTGGTAGCCCTGAGGCACAGGCATAAGTGACGTGACAAGGACACAGTGGTGAATGACCAGACAAGTTCTGAATGATAGTCTCGCCTACATAAGACCCCAGGGGAGATGAATTTGATGCCAACTGAGACAACACTTGTCAGTGCCTCGGGTGTTCTTTCAACAAATGGGTGCATTCTTTCAATATTTGCCAAGTATCAATTATGTAGTAGTCACCAGCCCAGGTGCCGGGACACAACAGTGATCAAGACAATAGCAAACAAGATAGAGATACTTGAACTTTTCTTGACTATATGGGGTGTTTGAGCACAGGTGTGCAAGTAATGTAGTATTAGGTTTGATAATTGCTATGAAGAAAAATAAATTAGGACAAAGAAGTAGTGAATAAAGGGGTTACTATTTTACATGGGGTCCCCAGAGAGAGCTTCTCTTACGAAGAGACATTTGACTGAGGCAGGCATGCAGCTTGAGAAGGCAGATTCCAAGACCTCTAACCAGGAGCAGCACAACAAAGCTTATGGGCTAGAGGGTAGGTCACAGTGGTTGAAGCTGAGAAAGATAAGGAAAAGTGATAAGAGAATAATTTGGGGCACAGATGATCACAAAGGCTCTGCGAGCCATTCTGAGGCCAGAGCAAAACAATAATGCCAGCTCTCCAGGTTGGTAAGTATTAAATGGTTTAGTGTATATAAACACCCAGCCAATTGCTTCTCACGTATATCATCGCTGGGCTATGGTTCCCTTCAGCTCCAGATTCACCCCTCCATCTGCTGCTAGACCAGAGATGGTGAACCTTTTAGAGTTTTCAATAATAACAAACAGCATGTGTGCCATTGGTTCACCACCACTCTGAAGGCTAAGCATGTATTTATGTTTCTTCTGGCTGCAATGAGTCACCAAGAACTGAACAAGAAAATTCCCATGGAAAACTGAACATCAGTAAGATAATTAAAGGAAATAGATGTTTGTGGGAAACAGAAGGGAACTTTTAGGAAACTCTAGGAGGCATCTCAAAATCCTAGTGAAAGAAGAAATGGAAAGAGCCTTCCCATTTTTTTGGAGTGCAGGGGGCTCTTCGTTATATTCCCCAGGAGGCACCTGTGAGCTCTGGGGTCTCCTTCAGGCAGGGGCTGATTTTAAGCAAGATATGGCATAATGAAATGCAATACATTTCAATGAATTTTGCATTTCTTTTGATTTTGGCTTAACAGCTATTTCTACATATTTAGAGTGGTTTGGAGACACCTATAAATTGGTCAAAATAGCCAGAAAAGAAAGTCCAACTGAGAGAGATTTCTGTTTCCTAAATCATCAACCTCTTCAGTCACCTGATACCGTATACTTCCCACCAACGAATAAGCTGTTCCACACATACATAGATCTCATAAGTGAGTGTACATCTACTGATATCTGTGTTACATATCCAATATGGAACTAGTTCATCTATAAATATTTAGCCCCTGCTGTATGCTGGGCACGGTTACATAATGGGTCACAGAAATGAATAAGACAGACATAACCATGCCCTTTCCATGTGGGGCTGACAGATTTTAGTAAAGAATATAGTGTGGGGGGACCATCATGGAGAAGCATGGTGTCCCACTGAGACCAGCAGAGACAGCTGATCTAGTCTGCAGGCTGATAGGAACATATCCCCACACAGGAGACTGTCTCTGAAAATAAGCTAATATCATCCAGATGCCTAATGCTGCAAAGAGCAGAAACATGAGGTGAAGCCCCTGAATTTAAGGAGCTTACAACCTCACTGGATATATACCATACCCATGGAATGATAATTTTCAAAGCATGTGTCTTACCTCACCTCTGATATGGTGATAGTGTCCACACCATCTTCAACACTTTTGCTCTCCTCTAGTAAGCCCTCACTCCTGTACATCCTTTGTTAATGTCCATCTCACTATATTTATCATGGGAGAAGGGAACAACGGTACCCTCCTTGATTGTTTTTAAACTATGGAGGCTGTGTCTCTTCCAGATTGTACTAGCAGAAGAGAGAAGATGATCACGGAGGGGCAAGTCATTCACTCTGCCAAAAATACAGTGGGCTGCTTTTAGAAGCTTATAATTAAAGGCTCTCTTCAGTGTGGGACTTGCCCTACACGTTGTGATTCACCTTCATTTGACCAATTTTTGTACACATCCACTTCCTGCTGGGCTCCGTGGTGCACATCCTGAGAATTGCAGATGAGTTGCCAAAGCAAGACTAATAACCTCGAAGTTAAAATTGCCACAGTCATGTTCTGAGAATGAGTTTGCGCTGTATGCTGTCCATACCCAGAAAAGGAACAATTTTGCTAATTAGTAGCTGGGCAGCTTCCTGGAGGCACTGGATATTGGACTTGAAAAATTAGTAAGAGTTAACTTAGTATCTTGAAAAATTAGTAAGAGTTAACTAGAAAGAAAAAGATATAAGGTTTTTCCAGAAAGAGAACATGGTAGGTATGTAAGCAGGAAGAAAACAACAAAGAGAATCACAATTATTCCTAGGTTATTGTTGGAGCAGGGATTGCCTTGGTAAGGTGGGAGATTAAACAGTGAGAGTTCGTAAAACAAAAGAAGACTTTTCACAGGTGCTCCACAAACATCTAAAGAGCTTTGCCACTAGGAGTAGGATTGCTAATTCTGGCAGATGGGTGGACATTAAGGAGTGGATTAAGGGTGGCTGGGAGATAAGCACAAGAGGACAGAGGTAAGCAGCTCCTCCAAGAAGCTCGACAGTGGAATCAAGCAGAATGAACAAAAACAACAGGGGCACTGACAGGTGTATGTTTGTTTGTGTTCAAAATAACACACAGGTTGAGCATGTTTAAATGCTGAGAGAACAATGCAAGGGGAGGAGGAAAAGGCAGCAGAGGGCAAAACTACTGAGCAGGGATTTCCCAGGTGGAAGAAATCATGCAAATCCTTGAGTCTTGGTGCAGAATTTAACTGATGTGTCAGAAGGAAAGATGGAAAAAGAGTGCAGATGTAGACGCAAGGGTAGGAAATTCTGGTAATTGGAGAGATTTCCTTCCTGTCATTTGTTTGCTTTGTGGAGTGGGGACAAGGTAATGTGGTGAGTAAAATGAGGAGGTAGCAGGTAGGGGACTTCAGGTGACAGACTGTTGAAATAGCTTTGCAAGGAATGAAGGACTAGTCAGGCACACGGGTGGAGGTGGCCAAGTAGAAAGAAGACTCAGCTGCCGTAGGGCTGAGACTGTGGGGTACAAGTGGGCTTAGTGGTGAGATCTTCTCTAGCACCTCCAGGTTCCCTAGCTTCTCCTTCCGCTGCACTATGCTGTGTTGTATGAACATGAGTACTGGAAGTAACGCCTACAATTTATCTTCTTCCTAAATTCAAAAGGTGCCCTTAATTTGGAGTCAAGGCTTATTATGAAATAATGAATGCAAAGTCTCCATCTATTTGGATGTCACCAATCATTCCGGCATTCCACAAGCACACTAGCAATGGACAGAGAGTGCTACCAGGTAAGACCAGGTGGGTGGGGAGGCTGAGACCTGCCCTGGACATATCTATTCCCACAGGAGCTGAAGGGCAGTCTCCTTCCACTAGGTGCAGCCAGTCCTATCCCTGTCCGTCTCTGGCCACAATTCCTGCCTTGGGCTCTGACCGTTACAGGATCACTGAGCAATCAGCAGCCCCAAAGGAGCTTTCTGCCAGGGCCCCAAGCTCCATCCCATGTACCTCTCATCATTCTCACAGTATAAAACCCAACAAAGACCGCCTCCCCCTTCTGTTGCCCTCCCTTGTTCTGACCACAGGCCAGAGAGACAGAGCAAGAAGATTCTATTCTAGGGCGCAGAAAATCAGGGTGTGGGACCAGAGGCAGCTTATAGAGGGATCTTGGTTAAAAGAAGGGGGCTCCTTTACAGACACCTCCAAACCCAGCCCCAGGGCATAATGCCTCTTACACCTCGGGAAGCAAGACACAGGTGCAGCCTGGTGATGAGGCAACCTCATCATCAATTTTATTGCAAAGAAAAGCTCTTAAAGACCAATTTTAAATGGAAAGATAATTTAAGAAGTGAACTCAAGCATATTCAATCCAAACTTGACCTCGGGTGTCTGTTCAAGTTGTACTCTCCTCCTCTGCTGATTAAATCAATGAAGTATGGCATAATTTTCTTTATAAGAGACTGCATTTGCAGATGTGACAGGGAAAAGGCAAAAGTGAATGTTATTAAACTAACCAAGCTCATGAGGCTGGATGTGCTTAGATCATCCCATCCAACCCACTGCTGCACTGACCCAGCAAGTTAGGCCATGTGCCATCCACCCTGCGTGGGCTTTGCTCTGTCTGCTCCACAAATGCATGTCTGCACTTGTGTCCGTATGCCCTCTTTGGTTACCCTCCCTTCTTTCTCCATCACAGCCTCTGGCCTACTGTTGTCCCACAAGTCATGTGTTACTATTAATAGCTTAAGTTCTGGAGTAATTTAGTGTTTCAAATATAAATTATCGGGAATTCAGGATTGTTCCCTGTAACAACACGACTCGGACTCACTCACATTGGAACATGCTTCCTGAGAGAGGTGGAGGGGAGCTGAGCAGAATGCCACGAATATCACACAGGCCTGGGCACACCTGGGGCAGGTGAACAGTGGGAACCCATCCAAGATGAGTTCTGGGAAAGATGGTAGAAACCAGGAAGTTTAAGCAATTTAATTCTAGAATTGCCTTTTAATTCAGTAATCAGAAAAAACAAAAACAAGCAAACAGGAGTGTCACTGTCCTACAGAGACTGATAGTTTAAAGGGATGGGCCACCATCACACCCCTGTATGCTCAGACTAATTTCTTTTTGACTTGAATGCTTGGGCCACTTGGGTATTTGCAGCAGAAGCTGCACAGAAGCAGTACCATGGAGCTGAGGTTACTGTGTCCTGCCTGGGTGCAGGGCACTTGGTCACAGTAGGCTCACTTAAGCCTTTCTGGTACCCTTTATGGCAGCTACGAGGATAGTTCCCATGTTATAATGAGGAAACTGAAGCTCTGAAAGTTTAAATCAAAGGTCAAGATGTGTTGAGATGTTCCAGAACAAGGATTTGCACCCAGACAATGTCATTATGAAGCTTGTATTTGCAACCACTGCCCTGTTCTCCCCAAAGAAAAACAGGAAAGGAAATCACCTCAATTTGGGGATGAGGCTCCTTTGGCCCAGAGGCCCTTTTCTGTACTTCTCTCTCTAAAACCCCATCCATCCTTGTTTTGCTCCTATCTTTGGGGCATTTCTCCCATCAAAGCTAACACCCCTTTTCTCCAGTATTCTTCTGAGTTCTCCACTGCAGCCCTGGATCTGCTGGGTGGTACTGGAAGCATCTGCCTGTTTGCACTGGGAACTTCCTCCTCTTTCCTTGGAGCTAGTGCAAAACTTGCAAGCAAAATAGGGCAATCCTTGCGATAAACACAAGATTTCTCCCTCAGTGAGCAGGCTGCATCTCAGGCCTGGAGCTCTACAAACCACAGAATAGTTTTGGCACCCAACTGTGGGGTCGGTGGTGTCTGCTGAGAGTCACAGGAGTTCAGCAGAGGAAACTGGTCTTTGGAATAAAGAGACTAAAACGAAACCTCAGCAGCTTTACTATGTAGATGTGGAGCTTTGGATGGATTAGTCCATCTCTGTGAGCCTCTTTCCTGTTTTAGAAAAATGGACATAATATGCACATCACATGTTGATTGAAGTAAATGAGATGCCATGCTGCCTCCCCTTCTATACTACTCTGGCCTTACTGTCATGAATCCTGAAGACATTCTAACCACAAGTACAAGGTATTTTTGTGACAGTTTAGGGGAACAAAGATATCCAAAACCCTGCTCTTGCCTCCAGAAACTTAATGTTTAACTCATCAACCAAAGTACTAACAGAAAAAATTTCAGGAGTCAATATATAATAGACTGCCCATGAAATAGTATCAAGCATGCCCAGGAAGGGGGCTCTTTCGAGGCCAAAGACATTTTTGTGCTGGGAGGTCAGAGGAGACTGATCCGGCCTGCAGATCAACAAGTTCGGAACTCCTGGAGGAGAAACGGGGATTAAACAAAAGACATGGGGGAGACAAAAAGAGACGAAGGCAAGTTGATGTTAACCCAATCAAGCCTCCGGTTTATTGAGAAAATAATCACACCTTTTATAGGCTAAGGGCGGGAGCTGGGACAGGAAGAGGTTAAACAGATGAATACAACAGGGTTACCATCACATCCGGATAAGTGACGTAAGCAGAAGAGGATTATGGTTAATGTAGGCAGACGCAGTGCCCATAGGAGAGAGAGAGAGAGACATCTAGGCAACAATGCCTGTCACTCGGCTCCCTACAGGAGACTTTACTGAGAAGTAGAGTCTGAGCTGAGTTTCAAAGATGCATACGAACTAGAAAAGCTCAGTGGAGACCTGGGGCCTAAAACCTGCTCAGGCCAATGTTTTCATGAGAGACTCAGCCCCTACAGGGATGTATGGGAAAGGGGAGGCCTGCAGTGTCTTGCAAATTGGCCAGCACAAGTGCAATCTAACACTCTGTTCCATTTCATGGTTTTTAAGCAACAGATTTGGACGTGTAGTTGCCTGATCTTAATTCCCCCCACCCCCAAAAAGGCAAAATCTGAATTTTTATGTAAAATTTATTTTGCAATGTTTGGAAAATTTTTGGAAAATTTAAAAAATGCTCTGTGGGTCAGCTCAAACATGCACACAGGTTGGACTCCACATGGGAATCACTGTAGAGAACCTTCGCTGTTGGAAATGCCAGGGGAGCAGGAGGCAGAAGGGTAGGGCAGGTAAAACTACTTGAATGCCAGGCTAAAAAATTTTTGACTTTTTTCTTACAGAAATTACAAGGCACATAGGAAGATGTCAGACAACACCCTTTCCAATTAGAGCCCCAAAAAGGAGAAATAAAGGAAACTGCTTTAATTTTTTATCATCATAGGTGCTCCTTACCTATCTCTTTTAGTGGTTTTTCCTAAGAAATACACTTTACTTATCGTTATGACAATGATCTTTACTGAAGACTAGAGCCTACCTCTGAGTTTAGTTGGGTAGTTTAAACATTAACATTGTACCTTAGTAGCTTCATCTCTACATGTAAAGGCTTAAATTAGATGATAGTTAATGCCCATTCAAATTCTAATATTCTAAGAATCTATGGCTCTACACAGAAGAAATTAAATTAGTTCTTTAATTAAAGTATTCTAAAAATAGTGATAAAAAAACTTAGCTTTCGCAGTTTTTGAAAAACTTCATTTTAATTTCTTTTGCTTTTCCTCCATGATCCCAATACTGTTACTATCCTTCCCATTTTATGGAGAAGAAAGCTGAGGCTCATGTGGGTTAACTGACTTGCTCATAGGCATCAAGTTTGAGCAACAGAGCTAGAACTCTCTTTTATAGTTAATATTCACCATGCATCTGGACACCAGAGCCATACAGACAGGAATGAATTACATACAGTTCCTAAATATACTTGTGGGGTTGGTGTTTGGTGCCTGAGCATTTCACATATCATTAGAGGCAGTGAAATCCTTTCTGGATCACAGTTACGGGGCAGAGGATGGAGGGAGAGGAGCGCTGTGTGGAAAAGGCCAGCATTTGTCCTTACCTTGCTTAGCAGGAAATCATCTGTGTCCTCCTCTGTGAGGGATTTCATGGCCTCTCGGTCAAGCCTGAGAAATGCAACAGCTGCACGGGGCTTTTTGCAGTGAAGGACCCTCGTGGGCAGCTTTCGTAGCAGCGTCACTGTCTGGATGAAATTTCTCTGGAACTGTGTAAGTGGGCCGGGAACTCGTCTTTTTACTTCTTCACTCAAGTTCTCATTTCCCAGCTGGAGTGATGAATCCATCTCCTATCTATTGAGAAATTTTTTTTAAAAAAGCTAAAAATGAGAGTTGATGAAACTGAATTTGAACACAACCCATTTTTTTCAGTTTTATTTATTTATTTTGTTCTACTTACTTTTATGGCCAAAAGACAATTTTCTGAATTCTATTTTCCATCTAAATACTTAAGTTCTGTACGAGGCCGAAAGCCCTGTAATTGGTGTTTCCTTTCCTTTTTACCCTCTTTTTTTTTTTTTTTTTTTTTTTTTCTCTTCTTCTTCTTCTTCCAAGACACCATGATATTTTTACCCTCTTTTTATTTCTGGGAACTCAGTATCTTTCTATATCTTTTGTCCTTAGTGTTTTGACAGCAAATACCCCTTGCCCTCCAATCCAGGAAATCCCACAGACGGATTTACCTTTTCTACAATAAACAAATAAGAAATTACCCAACAACCCGTTTGGCACTCATCATGATATCTACAAACAAGGGATCAGGACTTGTCAGTCAGATCAGGGCATAACAGCTGGCATTTGGAAAAGGACGCACACACTCACACACTTGCACGTACATACAAACAGGCACATCACAGACAATAGCAGGGCAGAGATCCTGTAGCTCACCTGCTGCCTTACTGTTGAGAACAATTTCCCTCTTTCTACTTGAAGCTGTGTTGAAAATAAAATCAGTGTAAACACGCTCCTTGAAAGTTGAAGAAACACTCAGATCTGGTTCTGCCAGTAAAACTCATGTTGCACAAAGTTCAGGTGGTAGATTCCTAGTCTGACTTGCTAGGGCTTGTTTTACTACAGAAAAAGAAATCTCGATGGCTTGATTTCTCTGAAGCTGTTAAACATCACAGCCTGGTATCAGATGATCTAAAGAAGTGACAGTCCAGCCGGAGTCCAGCTCACTTCTGAGCAATGCTTGCCTAACCAGCCAGTGTCTTCTCAAACTTACCTCTAAGCCTGCCTCCAAGGACTCAGCAACTCCAGTGCCTCCCCACTGACTTGCTGTGGCTGCACATTTGCATACTTCCTAGACTCTGCCCTATGAAAGCCTAGGCAGAGCTCCCTGGCAGCCGGACGCTCCACCCACCTCTTTAGTTCTGGTTTATAATCCTGTTTCTACAGATCCGTTCTCCTAATCTACAGTCTGATAAGAACCTTGGAAACAGCTTCTTCAATGAGCTTCCAAGTATTCCAAGGCTGCCTTGATTTTCCACCTGCTCCTGTGTGTTCTATTTTTATAAAGTTCCAAATGCTCCCAACTATTTCAGTTCTTATTCCGTTGACTTCTCTCATCACTGATCATCTTGCCAAACTATCATACCAGCTTTTCACAGACGAAACAAGAGCCTCCCTCTCTGAGCCTATCATTGAAAGCCTATCATTCTCCTTCCATCTCAATTCCAACTTTCAGCTTCTCAGTGCCCCACTCCACCCTCCTCTCCCTTGGCTTTTGTTTTCATCCTCACCTCTGATCTCACTGGAACCATCAATTTGGGAGCTCCTTTCCTCAGGGACAGGGGGAGTCTTTCCCAAGAAACCAAGGTTACTTCAGGCAAGGTACCATCATTACAAGTGAAAATCTTTGCCATTTTTGCAGCCGTGACTCCCCTCTCTTGGTCACCTCTGTGCCACAGCCAACCAAAATGGTTGCATTTGAAATTGTCTCTTGCTCTAAGAATCAGAGACATTTTTGTCACATGTGAGCTGGGCCACCTAGGAACCTGCAGGAAGAATGAAGTATTGTGTTCAGGGCAGCTATCCACATCCTGGAAATAGGGGTATTGTATGAACACTCTGTAGGCTCTTACTTCTTATGAGCAATTTAGGACAGTCTCATGAATACAGTCTCTCAACTACAGTTCCAATCTAGTAGGCTAATGAAGACAAGCTTTCTTGATAGATCTAGATCTTTCATGGCTGAAGAACAAGTCAGCAACAATTTACTGAGTAACAATGTGCCTAAGGCACTGTGCCAGGCCCCTGAGGGGGGTTCAAAATTAACTTAGGTTGTTGTTCTTCCTGGGGAAATAAGGACCCTCACCTGTCATGAACTAATACTAAAAGTAAGTATAAAACTGCAAACCAGTTTGGATCAATCTCTACCATTAGGACTAATAACTTATCTTTTAAATTCAGTTTAAAAAGGTATTCAAGATGTTACTCTGAATCTAAACCTTCCATGTAAGAAGGTCTGGGAAGACTGTGCTTTCCCTGGCTTACTAAGCAGAAGTGTTCTTACTGCATTATTGAATCCTGTTGCTGAGGATTCTGTGTCCATAAAAAGAAAAATTGGCTTCACCCTTATCAATCTATTTTGTGTTAAGATATTGAGAAAATGTATGTCTCAAATGTCTCATTTTTCAGCCGTGAGAGATCTAGGATACTGGAATCAAGGGTGTGTGATTACTAAATCAGTTCACTGAAAAGTTGGCAGAATATAGACAATAAGTAAGATCCTGGGAAGGCCTCTTGTGGGTGTGAGTGCTATTCACACGAAGGCATGGAGGGCAGGTTCTTCTTATATTATATTACCTGGGGGTTTCTTAAACTCCTGGACCCACGTAACCTCCCTGTCTCCACACACTGAGCAACTGGAACCACAGGTGCATGCCACAGATCCCAGGGTCAGTCTCCAGGATGTTAAGTTTGTTGAAGTTCACCAGGGTTACAAACCCTGACTCTCTGACTTACTGATTCAAAATGTCCTCTAATTTGAGTGACTCAAAGCTGACAGCTCAGAAGACCAGTCAAAGACAATCATCTATGTCATAATAAAACCTGCAGGAGTGCATGATTTGAGACAGAAACTATGGCCATACTGAAACTTCAGTATGTAATACCTAACTGACCCACCACAAATGTCATGGAATATTTATTTGATTGTTAAGCATTAAAGTGATATATAAAATCACTTTATAAATTATGAATTAAATTCCACACATGAACCTGTGGTCACTTAAATTACTATCTTCTTCTATGGAAAGTCCTGTTATGAAAGCATTAGCCCTTTGCTTGGCACAGATAAGACCTCAGTAAATATTGGTATCCCTGATCTACTTTATTCATGGAGGGAAAAGACCCTCTTTTAATGAATGTGAGTAATGTTCCTGGTCTTATTTGCTGGTCAAAATCTTTTGATGAACTGCTCATCACCACTACGCCAAAAGACTGGTCTTTTTTTCCTCTTGAACCAGAAATAGTGAAGGAGATAACTAGAGCTTGGTTTGTTGCCTAGGTTCAGATATTAAGGATTCAAAATTCAAATTCCTACATGGTCCAGGGAGATTATAAATTAGGACAGAGGGAAATTGGGGGAAAAAGTGGAGCCTGTGGTGGTTTAAAAAAATAAAAGTTCTACCTCAGATATTCTAAGTCATTGATTTTTTTTTCCTTGCTAGTCTTTTAGTTCATTAAACAAAGCAGAACTGTCCATAAGACTATCCCTGGCACTATGCCCTATGATACTGAGATAGTTGCAGTTTGCTGAGAGCACACCTGATGTCTTCTTTGGGCCCTTCCAGGCAATGCTCTCAACTTGGGACACCCTCCCTTCCTTCTACCTGTTTGCTGTGCCAGCTTTCCCAAGATGCATCTTAGCTGCCACCTGCTTCAAGGACTTCTCTGATTTTCAAGGTAGAGAAGAGACCTCCATCTGATGTTCCTAAGCTCCTGTTGTGGCTTGTGTCTAGATGTCCCCAAAGCCTCGTGCAATAGAAGTTGGGCTTTTCAAGGGTAGCTGGATCTACATTGTGTGATACTGGGATCAAGACTGTGTGATTACTAAATCAGCTCACTGAAAAGTTTGGCAGAATAAACAATAGGTAAGATCATAGGAAGGCCCCTTGTGGGTGTGAGTGCTACTCACACGAAGGGACTGTGGCATGCATAGAATATAAGGCACAGAAAGAGGCTTGCTGTTGTTGCTTGCTGCTTTGGCTGCCTTCTGCCGGTCATGAACTGCTTCTCCTCTGTGATGTGCCAACTGCCATGCTACCTTGCCTTGGAGCCAGCTGATTATGGACTGAAACCTCAACAAACTGTGAACCAAAGTAAACTTTTCCTCCTTTAATTTTGGATGTCAGGTACTTTTTTCTCAGGAATGAGAAAATCAACTAAGGCAGCTACTCGATATAAAACTACTACTTTAGGTTTTATCACGCAATATTTTGCTGGCTTATTTGAATCTATCCCCAGTTATATTCCAAGTTTCTTGAAGGAAGATCTTGTTGGAAGCAGTATTAGACACATAGCAGGTGCTCAATACGTGAATGAATGGATGAATGAATGCATCAAGTGAGTAAGTGAGGGTGGTCCTTTTTCTAATTCTGTAGTTAAATGCATTCCTACCTACAGGCATAAGATAAAGTAAGAACAGTTAAAGCTGAATAATGAATAAGGACTCACTGGTGCATCTGGAAATACAATTAACAACAGTAGAAAGGGAATAGGGAAAACCCCTTGGAAAAGTTTGCTTTGACTCAGAAAAAGCAAAATATCAAAGCAGAAGTGTTTGCTTCTGAAAGAAGCCACTATTCACACCCTAACTATGTTAAGAATGCTGAAAAATTACCCAATAAGGAGAACGGGCCATGTACATTCTAGAAGCCAAAATCCCACTTTGTAAAAGTCATGGCTCCATCTGGCCATTTCAATAAAAACGTACATTATTTTCTAGTTGCAACTCTTATCTTCGTACATTCAGAAAGAGGAACAGTCTCTCAACGTCAGCCTGAAGGAAGAAAACAAACGATTCACCAGTGGATCTACTATTTATACAGCTCATGGGAAAGAATGAGAAGGAACATGTGCTTTCTTTTTTTTTTTTTTTATTTTATTTAAGGAGAAAAGAAAAGAAAGAAAAAAAAAACAGTGAAGGGGTACAAGTTATACAGATTTACAGGAGAAAAAAATGCGCAGTAGGCAATCACTAGTTAATGGATTACATATTGCCATCTTAGAAATAATTGCTGGATAGTATCAGGTTCGAAAGTTTAGACATCAGCTGAGAAGATAATGAGATTCATTATAACGCCCATTCTCGTTGACTTTTATCTACTTTTGAAGACCTACAGTATCTCCAATGTTTTGGTTTTGTCGGTTTTATTCTTTACGGTTTTGTTCAATTGTATAACAACTAATGATATAGGCAATTCTATTAGAAATAGCGGGAGGCATTATGGTAACCATTGTGGAACATGTGCTTTCAACTCCAGCTTTCTACTCAGCAAAGATGAACAGGACTCATTACCAAACAATCATGCATAAGAAATGACTCTAGTTTGGGTCCATCTGTTTCCATCTGTTCATGTGTCCCTCCATCTATATTTTGTGCAGCAGAATAGTATTTTGGGACTTCTTCATTCAATTTATCCAGGCTAGAAGCAACCCAGAAAATTATTACAGACTAGTTGTCAAGGTAATTAAACTTCTGTATTATTTCTACCCTATTTTCTGTTTTGATTTTTTTCTCTAAATTAAAAAAAATTTTTCTGTTTGGCTTGGATGGTACTATATTTTCAAATCAAATAGTAAGAGGTACTTCCATTTTCTATTTCCTTGTCTGGTTTTTATAGAGTATGATCACCTGAAACTTTGTCTGAAGTCAGGGTGTAGCCTTTTCTGCTTCCTCAGCCTATTTTTTAAGTTTATACCATTTGAAAAACTTGAGAGTAAGGAGGGCACTTAATGAAGCAGATACTACATTTTATGAATTTATTATACCATGAAGTGCACTGGAAACTTTACTTAACTTTTTATCTCAGTTGTGGAGCTGGTTGAGTTAGAAGGTGGCAAGAGGTTGCTGATTGCAATAATTACCACTAGTTCTTAGGCTCACAAGGGACAGTCCCTCTCTTAAGCCCTATCTTCTAGTTCTTAGGACAAATTTCTAGTTGAAAGAGACCCCGAGTGAAGATATAAAAAGAGAGATCAGAGGACCAAAGTGGAAAGTACAGTAGTAGGTCTCTACAAACTTCTTCACTGTTTGATCTTCCACAAAGTATGAACACAATTCAGTGGAGAAAAGATTTTCTTT